GGATTGAGCAGCGCCCTTGACGGCGATTTCCGTCGGGCTGCAGAAGGCGTGGTGGGCGCGCGACGGTGGCCGCAGGAGAGGCGTCGCACCGTTGTCGACGGTGGAGACCTCCTTGGATGCGAGCCGTGCTGGGCCAATGAGGGTTTTTCCACGGCTGGAACGCGCGATTGGAGGCAGAAAGGTACCAGTTTTTGCGACAGTGGCGGCCGCGCGGCTCGATGGAGCCAACCCTTGACGGCGGTGTTTGTTGATGACTCGGGTATTCGCGATCGGCGGTGCGATGATGCGGGTTTCGCCGGCGACGGCGGCTGCGATGCGCGGCGAGACCACAAGAATGAGGCTGGGCGAATGGGTTCTCAATTTTCCAGATTTTACAGAGGCGCAGTACAAGTACAAAGAGAAGGGGATGAAGGCAGATTTTGGGCGTGTGGAGAAGATAAGTTAGGGAGTGATTTTGGGCCTCAACAGAAGCAGCCCACCTGGGAAAATTGGGCTGCGGGAATTGGGATAGAAGAGAGTGAGTTTGGCAGCAATTTTGGTCAAGAGGTGGGCCCGTTTCGCGCTGACAGTCCTAACTTCGACGAGGATCACGTTGACGGGCCAATGTACGTCGGTCCACCCATTTTTTATGAGGAGCCTCCGATGATGATAAAATATTTTTACAGTAATATGGATCCCACGTGGGACGTCGCAACGGTTGAGTCTTTGAATGAGAAGCAGTCATCCACACCCGATTTTTTGAGTATTTTGGCCAATGATGTTTTTTCGGAGCCGACGCCGATACTCAATGACTGGTGGGCCATTTTTCGATTGCCTATCGCGAAATCTCCCAACAACGGGATGCTTGGTCGTTGTTTTGGACTTAAGCGCAAAAATCGATGTGGTATATTTTGTGTTAATTCGACTTTGCGACCGGTGACGTGTACATGTGCCTTCGCGTCTGTTAAGTCCTTGACCGGTGTTATGCTTACGTTCGTGGTTGTTGGAAGACGTTCAACATTTGTGTTCGATCGAGGGAAATGTCTGGGGTATTCTTGTCATGGGGACGACTCCAACATGAACGAGTCGGATTCGAGGCCGAATCCTGCTCAACCAGGGGAGAATGATGAGAATAGTTTAATAGCTCAATTATTATTATTATTATTATTATTATTATTATTATTATTATTATTATTATTATTATTATTATTATTATTATTAATAGTTAGCTTGAAGAATAAGTTAGAATTTAGTTCCAGTGTCTTATTTAAAGGGTTTTTGTGCTATGTTATTCAGGGAGTTGAATATGAAATAAGAATTGATTGAGTTTGTGAGTTTTACGTGTTTTAGGAGAGAGTATTTACGCGTTTTATCATTCCCACTCGTACGTTTCCCTACATCAAAAATGCTAATTTAAAAGCAATGCAAGTAAAAACAGATGAATCTTAGGAGGAAATGAGTAAATTCGACTCTCAAGTCACAAATTCGATTCTTGAGTCACTAAAGGCAAAATAAAGTAGCCGAAATAAAAGATAACTTACTCTTGGTCCACGGTTGGTTGCTTGGGGATGTCGATTTGCATCATTTCAGAACTACTGAGATTATAGAACGTTTCATGAGCTCTCGTTATAAATGGTTGCATTATATTTCCTTCCTTAACGGAACACAAAATTCATGCATGTAAGTATTTAGGAGAACAAAAACAACCCTGTTTTTCATAGAGCAAAGTGTGAATTTCCAATCAACACTATGTTTCAGATTGCATAATAGAGCATCAATCCATTCACTCTTGTCTGAAATTCCTGTTACGATTGTCAATTCTCCTTGCAAGCAAAGGAAGAACACAAATTAGAAAAAACCAAACCAAATCACCTTGAAAGAAATCACATTTCTGTGAACCATATCGAGCATGAAATCGATCAGCTCAGCCCCTTGGTGTAGCGCCCTCTGTCCCAACTATTCTTCGCACCAGACTACCTGAAAACGAAAGTAATTGGGCCTAAGGAATTGCACGACGGGCGCAGATCGGACGGAGTCCATGGTGCCAGGCTCGAGGTCCATGAGAATGGCTCGTGGGACGTGCCACCTGCCCTGGCCTTGTTGCAGTAGATATTTACGCGCTCGAGCAGGAGACGGGAGGTACTGAGGTACTTTCCGGTGGGGTCAACGTTGTACTCACCGCATAAGACCTCCCAGAATTTGGCTTGCTTGTTGGCCGCATTGGTCATTTGTGGATTGAATCATCAAAGAACCAAGATTCTCTACAAAAAGAAAACCCAGAAAAAAAAAAACTCAACAGTAAGGTCTCAAACCTAACTTCTAGCCGTCTCCCCCAAAAAAATACAAACAGTAAACTTTTATTGTTTGCTAGGCCAACAAACATTTATTGGGAATGATTTTGTTTTTATGCAATTTGATTTTGTATGTGGTTGTATTTATTTTTGTTGTGAGCCGAATTTGTTTTGGCTTGTTTATGTGTTCATCCGGTCTAATATGTTTCTTCTATTTCGTTTTTGTGTTGTGTTTCTTGTTTTGCCCACACTTTTTTGTGTTCATTGGCGATTTTTATGTTCATTTGATCGTAACCCAAGAGGAAGCGAATCGAACTTCACCCCCGACCACAGGAGTCATAACCGAGCAATAACCATTCCAGTCCATTTTTAGAAGATCTTGTTTTATTGCAATTTGATTTTGTATGTTTTTGTGTTTATTTGAGTCGAGTTTGTTTTGGCTCGTCTATGTATTCATCCGGTTCATTTTTTGTATGTTTCTTCTATTTTCGTTTTCCTGTCGTGTTTCTTGTTTTGGTCGCATTTTTCAGTGTTTATCGGTGATTTTCATGTCCATTTGATCGTAACTAAAGATGAAGAATAGAACTCAAGCCCCGAGCACAAGAGTCATAACCATTCTTCTGAGTCATAAATTGTGAGACTAATTCCATACCACCTCTCTCGAGAGAGAGACATGGCCCGAAATCGATCTTCATTCCATACTTGGCTAAAATACTTTCAACATAGTTATTAAATTTTTCATTGTTGAATCAACACAGACTCGTGCATATTTGTATGTAATGGTCAACGGTATCACACATTTATGCACCACTCAAATACTCAAAATTAAAGTCAAATTACTCTATGTGTGCATAATTGAAATTACTCAAGTCAATGTTACTGTGTTAATATTTAATCTACAAATCAATTTTTCATGGTTTATTCACTTATTGTCCAATAAAATTGCTATTTAGGTAGTACTCATAATCAGCTACTTTCTTCTTAGTCTTTTTTTCACTTTTTTGACAAATTTTCCTATTCATATGACTTTTTCGACGCTCCTCAAAAATGGGATGCAATATTTAAAAAAAAAATAAAAAAAAAAACAAAATCATGAAATTTCATAAATCAAACCATATATTTCAAGTTTACAAAGTTGGTGATAATTATTAACAGTCCATATAATAATTATTAACAAAGTTGAAATTTATTAAATTAAATATGGGGCAAGTAACAAGTTGAGCAAAGTTGGTGATATTTTTTTTGCATCAACATATTGCCATCTAAAAAGTAAAAATAAAAATAAATTGCGAGGATGGCCCACTATCCTAATAAACTGAGGACATCACTGACTGCAGACTTTGTCAATTATGATAATTCGTTACAAATTTGGGTTGCCCAGAATTGTTGACTGGTCTCATTTATTTTGAACAGTCAATTCTTTCTGATTTTTTTTTTTAAAAAAAATAGTTGGACTTAAAAAAATTTAATTTGTTATTTAATAAATTGTTTTTTACATAAAATACATGACCTAAAATTGTGAACCAATGTAATATAAAATAAAATGATTAAAACTAAATTACATAAAAAATAAAATATTAATTGATAAATAGAAATATATAATAATTATTATATTTTATAAAATATATATCATAGTACTAAATATGTATATTAGAGCATCTCCAATGCTCAATGTTGTAGTGGTAAATTATCTTCCACATTAACAAATTTATTAATATCACAAATTTCTATCATCTAATGTACAATGTGATCACAAATGTTGTGATGATGTGGACATAATTAATGTCTACAATGTAGAGGAGAATGTAGTTCATCCACATTCTACTCCACACTCTAGTTAGCCAATGAGGAGAAGAGAGATAATTATTATTACCATTTTTAAACTATTTAATTATTTAATTAATTTTATTATATTTGGCAAGTAGATAATGTTGTAATTAGGCAACATTGTGCATTGGAAATGATTTTTAAATTTAATAGTTGTGAACTCAACATTTGTCCTACATGGTTCACAATCTATTTAATTGTTTGACATTTGTCAAAAAAATTTATACAACAACATTAGAGCATTTGAGATGCTCTTAAAAAGAGAGAGAGAGAGAGATGAAATTGAATTTTTTCTTATCCAATACATATTTTTATACAATAAAACCTTTACATCTAATCAAGTCTATATAGACAAAAATTTTATGGTGCCACAACATGATGTGGCACATTATGATTGGTGTCACAATATGATGTGTGGTAGTGTGGCACCAACCATAATGTGTCACATCATGTTGTGGCACCATAATATGGTGTCACACGTGGCACCATAGAATTTCTGATATACAGATCCAATCTTTTTCTTTGACAGCCATGTAATATAGGAAGATGTTACGGTCCCGTCACGAAATGATTCCGTCGGGTTTGTAACCTTTAGATCAACAATTCCCGTCGGTTACATGATGATGCAACGGTTATAAATCCTGACGGAATGATTACGAGACGGTAGCATTTCCCTATAATATAAATATATGGATATAATACTGTATTAATATTAAATTAAATTAAAATAACATAAAAAGCTTGTTTAACTCCAGATATGTTTCTATCTCTGCTGCATAAAGATGATTAGAAACATGACCCAACAAAATCTGTTCGCTATCACTATTCCATGATTCAAAAGCCAACCTATTTTCTTCGATTTTAAGACAAATCATTTTGTCCTAATAATAATTTGTTTTGGTGATGGGTTTTCAAGAATTGATGAATCCCATTGACTGGGAGCAAGAATCTTACCCGCAGTACGAGGATTTCGCCGTGCTTCCATTTTTTGCTATGCTTTTCCCTACAGTTCGATTCTTGCTCGACAGATTCGTATTTGAGGTTATTCTTTCTAAAAATCTCTACTTTTTCGTACCCTTTTATCCAATTTTGGTAATCTTGGTTTTTTTTTTAATTTTTTTTTTTTATGGGTTTTGTGAGTGGCATTTGGATTTATGCTTTTGTTTGACGCTTTATTGTTGATATAATCAGTGTTCGAATGTTTTATATGATAAAAGCCAGTTCAAGTTTGGATTTTGGATAAGGAACTCTGTGATATATTGGGTTTATGATCTGATTTGCTGATGTTTTTATGGTCAACGTGGTTCAGTTCTGGGCAGGAATAGGAAATTGTGACAGAAAAATTTGAATTGTGTTGCTCCCAAGTGTAGGTTCGTTCAGGGAAATGCTAAGGTCCCGTTACGGAATCATTTCGTCGGGGCTTGTAACCGTTAGATCATCCTGTAACCGTCAGAGATAGTTGATCTAACGGTTACAAATCTTGACGGAATGGTTCCGTACTGGGACTGTAGCATCTTCCGTAGGTTCATATGTTGAAATGTGATATAATGATAAATTTTTAGTTATCTTAAATGTTTCCTCTGTAGGAATTTAAGATTTTGAGCAATAGGATGAGAGGAAAAGGCATAAAAGCTGTTTTAGTCCTTGAAGTTCCTCGTGAAGCCTTCGAAATTAATCTTTTGTCTCTAAATTTTGTCCAAGCACACCCTGGAGTTGCTCGAAATAGATTGAACAGAGAATTTGAATCATCGTATGTTAAACGAGTGTATCTGAACTTGTTCCGATTTTTTGTATAATACTTGAAGATTTAAGCTCGGGTTGCTGATTGGAATTGTTGAGTATGTTTAATACCTGCTGGCTCATGTTCCATCTAAACTAGTAACTTTAGTTATCAACATCTTATCTAAGGCACAAACGGCCAAATCGGTTTATATGTTGCTAGATTTACTATTTGTTATTCTTTTTTCTTTCCTTCTTTCCCTATTTCTTTATCTTTTACCTTTCGTTTCTCATTCTCTGATTGTCGAACTTAAGGAAAATTTTTAGACTACCTAAAAAGCTTTACACATTTGAAAAAACATCTGAATCTTTGGCAACCAATGGCTAGCTGGTCATTTACACTATCAAAGCAGTAAAGTTATTTTCCTGTCGTTATATTTGGTTGGAATAATTTCGCGAACAAATAAATATTCATTTACACACACGTATTTCACGTATAAATATATAATGATATGAAAGTAATACATAAGGGTGAGCCTTGAGTGATCTTTGATCTTAGTTCTGTATTCTTTCCATTTTTTTATTTTTCTCTGACCATACAGTTGAGTTTTTAATGATCCGTGAACTTGAAAAGTTCGTAAATTAAACATAAAAGTTATTTTCTTGCTTATTTGAAGAATTTCGATTATTATTCTTTCGGCTCGATTTTTGACCGACACTACATGTCGCAGAAAGTTGGAAGGCGGGTAATATACGGAAAGGCAGCACAATTGGTGGAAAATGAGACGGATGATCAAAAGAAGAAGATAAGGAAGTTCAAAGAATCGGCTTGGAAATGTATCTATTATCTTTCTGCTGAGATATTGGCTCTTGCCGTGACTTATAACGAGCCTTGGTTCAGAAAGACAAAATATTTCTGGGTAGGGCCCGGGAACCAAGTCTGGCCTGACCAATCATACAAGTATGAATATTTTTTCTCACCCTTTTTAAGTCTCTTTACTTAGATTAATATCAACTTTTGCTAATAGTGGGTTATCCTTCATCTTATTGTTTAGTTAAAGTTGCTTCCTTTTCTTCTTGTTGGTATTCAGGCTGAAACTTAAGGGCCTCTACATGTTTGCGGGTGGATTCTATTCGTACTCTATTTTTGCTTTGGTATTTTGGGAAACGAGACGTTCGGATTTTGGGGTCTCTATGAGTCACCACGTTGCCACATTCATTCTCATCGTCTTATCATATGTATTCAGGTGTTTTTTTAAAAGAGTCACTGTTGTGTTACCTTCTTTCAAAAATAAAATGAAATATAGTATATATTACACTACAAAAAAGACGTCTTTTTTTTTTTCTTTTCTGAATTTGTCCTTAAATTTTTTTAATCTTTTTTTTCGCAGGTTTGCACGTGTGGGTTCTGTCGTTTTAGCCCTTCACGATGCGAGTGATGTGTTTCTTGAAATCGGGAAGATGTCGAAGTATAGTGGGGCAGAGGCAGTGGCTAGCTTCTCGTTTGTCCTCTTTGTATTGTCGTGGATTGTTCTTCGTCTTATATACTACCCGTTTTGGATTCTATGGAGCACAAGGTGTATATGCTAATCTCTCTATGTTAGAAAAAGGCTTTTGTTTCACTAAATCGGGTTATGCTTGAAATTTATGGCTTTAGGCTATATTTGGTAAACTCAACTGATAAGCTAGCTTATACCTTTTAAGTGAATTTCGAGCTTATAGCTGATAGCTTATGACTGATGGCTGAAAAGCTAGCTTATATGATAAAAGTGTTTGGTAAAAATTAGCTGAAATAAAAATTTCAATGGGCTTATTTGAAAAGTTACCCAAGAAAGTTTATAAGATAAGCTGGAACTTTGTAAAAAAGCTTGTCTTACCAAACCAAACTTATTTGAATACAAGAACTTATATAAGCTAATCAAGTAAGTTATAAGCTAGCTTTTTATATGCTTACCAAACACAACCTTAATACTCTTTCTTATGTTTTATCGGTTTTATAGACCCAAATTCTTGTGATATGCAGTTATGAAGTCGTACAAACATTGGATAAGGAAAAACACAAAGTCGATGGACCAATCTATTATTACATTTTCAATTTCCTTCTTTTCTCCTTACTCGTTCTTCATGTATATTGGTGGGTGTTGATGTACCGAATGCTCGTCAAGCAAATCCAAGCAAGGGGACGAGTCAGTGAAGATGTTAGGTCCGGTAAGTGGCACTCGAAAACCACTAATCAATTGCTTGTATATATCATTGTCGTTTTTACTGAATATTCATCCTCCGTTTGTTTTAACTTTGTTGTTTTACCTTTTTTATTCTTTACTATGTTTCGTATCTTGAGCAAACAGATTTAATTATTGAATGAATTGCTTTTTACGGTAACTATATATATATATATAACCCTTATTTGATATTTTGGCGCAGATTCTGAGGATGAAGATGATGAGCATGAAGATTAGAAAATGAAACGAATTTCACTTTCAAAGTCGCCAAAAAGGTTCGTGGTGTGTTGTATGCATTTTTGTTTAGAGTATGATGGGTGGACCCGTCTAATGGTTAGACCGTCTCGCACAAGAATTTGTACTTTTTTACATTAATCTGATGAAAGCAATTATAGCTTTATGTATGCACTTTTAAGTAAGCATGCATACTAATAGTCTTTAAGGGATGTATTTCTAATTCGATCTGGGATTTTTATTTTTAGTTTTTCTTCTTCTGCAGATTCAAATGCAATGACAAGATCCTTTTAATTCAAGAAATGAAATATAAAAAACTGAAAATTAATTCAACTTATTATTATTATTATTATTATTATTATTATTATTATTATTATTATTATTATTATTATTATTATTATTATTATTGGCTTGTCAAGGAGGGTCTGGAGAGGAAAGAATGATTATCCTTTTTTTTTTTTTTTTAATAAAAATTTGCCATGGAAATTTCCCAATGATTGTACCTTATAAGTTGTATAAGTGTTGAACTGTTGCAAGAGTGCAGCAAAAAAATATTCCCAGCAATATATATCTATGCAATTTTGAGTAAATGTTTTAGGCAATTTCACTCTAATAATCCATCATCTACTGTAACTTTTCTGGCTAATATTGTTTCTGTAACACAAAATTCATGTGTGAGATAGCCTAACTGTTAGGCGGGTCGAGCCGTCATGTATATCGATGTAAAAAGATTTGTATCTACTATAAATACTATGGTATCCCACCAAAAAAATCCGGGTTACTTAATACGAATTTTTGAAATTAATTTACAAGAAAAAAATAAAAAAAAAAAATCTTTTTTGGAAATAATTCATGGCACAATTGTAGTTGAAATTCTCAAGGTTAAGAGAAGTAACTATTAATAAAATTCACAAGATAAGTAATTATCAATAAAATTTCACTTTTCCTAAACTAGTTTTTCTGGTCAAATCATATACTACTATTTTTTTTTATAACCTTAAAACACTTGGTAATGGTAAATTAATTAAATATATGGCTTGGGCGATTATTGAATTAAATAAATTCCACTTATTTTTAAACAAAAATTCTATGGAGCCATCAGATGATTTTTTTTACGGAGCCATTCACCACTTAATGTGTTGACAGTTGTCCAAACTGTATTCATTATAAGATACGTGTTAATACACTATTGGTGAATAAGGGTGGATGACTCCATAAGTCGAGTCATCCGATGACTCAATGGCAAAACTGTATTTTTAAATGGGTGTGGGAATATGAATGATTTGTCACAAATGAGCGTTACATTTTAAATAAGTGCTGGTTTTAGTTCATGTTCACTTTACATTTACTACGTCTCGAGTTACTTCATGTGAGTTATTAATATTCGCTTTAAATATTTTTTTCGTTGATGTTTGTTTATTTATTTCTCATAGTATGATATATGTATTTATTTTCACTAATCGAAAGAGTTTGAAAAGTTTATTTTGTGTGAAAGACGACTCGCTACAACATAAAAAAAAAATGTTTCATATTATGAAGTGTCCAATAATATATTATTTTTATCATTGTATGTTTATTTGTATTGCCATAGTGAGATTTTTAATTAAAAATTATATATTTAATATAACTTTGACAGAAAAAATGATAAAAATATGTTTCCCCCAATGCATTTTCTCACGGTATGTTATTTTTTTTCCAAAAAAATTATGACATGTTCTATTGAAATTATATATATTTTTAAAGAGAATGTCCGTTTAATCGTTAAATCTGTCTAACACAAAATTAATAAATAAATTCTAGCTTTATGATTTGTCAAGTGGTAAGTTTAGTGGTGTTTGAAATTATGTCTCGTACGTCCAAAAATAATTAATTGCATGATTAAAAATAATGATTTTTCGGACAATATTAGTACAAATTCAATATCATTGTTTAATTTCCCGCGTCCCAAAAATGATTAATATTCGACCTTTTGCAGATTGCATTCATTTTTCACATGTAAGAAATTGAAATTGATGAAATTGGCTTCTAGCATTATTTTATTAAAAGATAAAAAGAAAGAATGTACCATGTGATTAGGTCATCATCATTATTTTAAGTTAATCCTAAATATTTTGACCTCTTTATCATCGTTTGTTTGGTTGGATGAGATAAGATTAAATTAGTATAATGTGGTTGAAGTGTATTGTTTGGACAAAAATAATCTCATATATTAATTTGTAACTCATGATTTTGTATGCCGGATAAACTACAAAAATACCGATACATTGTTCCCAATGTTTGATTCACTTGATTAGGGCTGCAAATGAGTCGATCAGCTCACGAGCCGTTCGCGAGCGCTCGAGTCAAAGTTGGACTCGAGTTCAAGTTTGACCGAACTCAAGTCGAGCTCGAGCCCATAATTTGCATTGTCGAGCGGCTCGATTTATATAAATTACTAAAATACCCCTCTTATATATAAATAATATAAAACAAGTGCTTAATGATAGTTTCACTTAAAATTTTTCGAGTCGAGCTCGAGCATTTGATTTCGAGTTGAGCTCGAGCCTCATAAATTGAGCTCGACGAGCTCGAGCTCGGGCAGCTAAAAAAAAAAAAATCAATCATTCTCGATAAGGTAAATGCTCGACTTCGCTCAGCTCGTTTGCAGCCCTACACTTGAGTAAGCATGTAAGGACATAATTGACATTTCAGGCGCGTTTCTTTGTCTTTTGTTAGACATGGCAACCCATTATTATTTTTGTAAGTTATTTATATGCATTATATTGTAAGATGTTCTATTGTTTTTTTTGTTCCAATTTATGTCATTTTAAAAGTATGATTTTTATTATTGTTATGTTATATGATTGACACTTGAACAAAATAACAAGTACACAATTGCATATATACATTGAACTCCAGAACAGAAGCATTTATTCTGACGTATCCCAGCAAGAAATTATCTCTTGCAACCAATTTAATTTGTGCGCGCCCACCAATTAAATTGACTTGACTGAACATGATTTTTCACATTTTTTTGTCTTTTTTTTTTTTTAAATTTTATTATGCATTTCGAAAAACAGAACATAACCATTCTAAATTGGATTAATTTTAGGAAAATATATGACATATTCTTCCTAAATTGTACATTAAACTATTATTTTTTTAATAGGTACATTATTAAAAATGGTCAAACTCCAATCTATACTCCAACAAAATCACAATATAATTATTAGAATTTCTGTAAGAATCTCCGTAAGAATTTCTATAAGAATTGGGTTTACGTAAGAAATTGGTTTTCTGTAAGAATTTTTGTTTGATTTTATCTATTGATAGGGCTATTTAGCACTTCGGTCTCCATTGTAAATCTCCCTTCTGAAGCTTATAAAACCCATCTAAGAAAAAAAAAAAAGAATAATGCATGAACATGTATGTATGAGGTCCAATATGCATCAAATGTTTTGACCAAAACATTGAAATTGTCACATTTCCTAATTGTATAGGTAACTTAACAATGCTCCCTAAAATCACTCAATCCGTTAGGAAATTTTCATCTTTAATAAGATTTTTTTTTTTTTTT